TTGGGGGATCACTGTAGTATCCGAGACACATGGGTACTGCATCCTTTTTTCTTTCTTTTTTTTTTTTCTTTTTTTTAACTATGCTATATTCTTCTCTCAAATCTTTCATCATCTTCCAAATTCTTTCAAATTGAATTCACATTCAGTACCTACCTACCACCTGCATCTGCATCTTGCTCTTCTGGAGGTTCTTTTTTTTTTTTTTTTTTTTTTCAAGGCCCCATGTCTGGAGGTTCAAACTTCAAAGATATCAAAATTTTCAGAGATCATAAGGTGCAAGGAACCTGACTGTTCACCACTTGCTGGAGTGCATCCGATCACATGCATATACACCGATTTCCACAGATTGCGAAGTCTCACACAAAACCCAATAGAAGATGAACGCGAACCAGGAAACTCAATTCAATTATCAAACCCAGATATAGAGAGAGAACATCATGAGTTCAAAGTGAATAGCGCTGCACAGAGTTTACAAGTCTTCTTCGATCAACACGAGTTCCAAGCCTAGCGCTCATCAGCACCAGCTGCCAGATGTCAACAGCGCTCAATAGGTAAGTATCACCATAGCTCATACCTTCCCCTCTCTCGTCTGCTTTCTTCTCTCTCCTTCCTGGTCTATAGTCCTGGTCTGCTCTCACTCATCATGCATGCACACTCCCTATCACACGAGGATCTACTTTGAATACTACTCACTGGCATCTCCTACTGACTATCCCTCCTAACACACCAACTAGCCCTGGCGCCACTATGGCTGCCTTCCCTCTAGCCAGCACTCTCTTCTCTCTCTCCTAGCGCTGCTTCTTCAGCCTAGCGCAGCCCACTCACAACCAGCGCACAAGTACCACGACACTTCCACACTCTCATGCGAAGTGAGCATCTGTCCAAATGGGAGTCTGGCCAGTCCTTTATAGTGCTGGACTGGCCAGTCCTTTATAGTGCTGGACTGGTCTGGCGCGGCCTGCATTCAGCCTCAAATGTGCCTGGGACTCCTGCCCAGTACCGATTGTATGTGTCCCAGTACCTTTTCCCATGGTCTGCTGCTGCTTTGGGCCATCGGGCCTGTGTTTCGGACTCCCGGTCTGAGTCACGACTGACTCGTGGAATTATGACTGGACTGGGACTGTAGCCTTTGACTCATTGACGAACAGACATGTCTTTTCACCGAGGAGACATGACCCTAACTCAGTCTTGAAAGTTGTGTCCAATACCTGTTCGTTCAGGACCCGTTGGCAGTTGTGTCCTTTCAAAATGACTTTCCACTTCATTATGGATGTGATTTTTACCTCAGGAACTTTGTCTTTTGAGTTGCAGCCCGTGAATTTAAGTTCTGGCCGATAGGGCCCCTTGCTGTTGGGGTATCCATTCGGGGTCTGATTCGTAAAGGCCCTTTTACAGGAAGGTTAAGGGGGGTTAAGGCAGGGTGTGTGTGTGTGTGTGTGGGGGGGGGGGGGGGGGGGGAAGGGAAAACAATTTGGAAGGCAGACAATTTACCTTTAATTATTATGCAATTTCATTTCATTTGTTTTTTTTTTTTATCTTTTTATGTCGTTCAAAGTTCCCGAAAGTGAGTGAGGTCTCAGACAATCGACACGATCTAGATTCCGATCTGATACTTGATTGGTCGGGCGGACCAGGGCGCGTGGTCCCACTAGCAAAGAGGATCGAATCGAATGCCTGAATCTGGACGTGTTTGTGGAGAGGTGCAGGAGATCGAGATTGATCTTCTTTTCTGCATCTCTGATTCAGGAGAGGTGTTGTTCCTCATTCAGACCAGGTGTTGTTCCTCATTCAGACCAGGTGTTGTTCCTCATTCGAATCACCCGCAAAAAACCACCACGATGCTTTGCGGGCTAATTTGGACATCTCTGTGTAGCGATTTTTCATTACTTTTCATTAAAAACGCCTGCCGGTTAGTTTTTCATTCCTCGCATTTTTGTTGCACTTATATATTTTCACTGCAGATTTTTTTCGTTGGCCTCCCAGTGCTGCCTGCAATGGCAGATTGCACACATGCCTTCCCACCAGGGACTGCCAGGCGCCTTGGGCCTGCCCACACCACTAAGGAAAACCCAAAAAAAAAAAGGTGAGTGCATCTTCCGGCAGAGGGTGGCAAGATACATCCGTCACCATTTCTAGTAACCGACGGAAGTGGGAAGGTGGCAACGTGCCAGATCCACGTAGCCACACTTACACATCCCGTACACAGCTGAGTGCCACTGAAAAGCCGATAGAACTGGTCGTCAACTTCATCCAAACATCATTTGCCAGCGCACTCGAGACAACAGAGATGGAGAAACAAAAAGAGAAAAGGAAGGGGGCGGGGGGGGTGAGAGAGAGAGAGAGAGAGAGAGAGAGAGAGAGAGAGAGAGAGAGAGAGAGAGAGAGAGAGAGAGAGAGAGAGAGAGAGAGAGAGANGAGAGAGAGAGAGAGAGAGAGAGAGAGAGAGAGAGAGAGAGAGAGAGAGAGAGAGAGAGAGAGAGAGAGAGAGAGAGAGAGAGAGAGAGATCGGCAGAGAGAGAGAGAGAGAGAGAGAGAAGACGAGCCCCTCAGGCGCAAAAAAAGTCTTAAGTTAAAGAATCATGCTGCGATAGCGTATCAGGAAGAACAGTTGCGGCGTCCTTATGGCGTGTGTCAGGCTCTGCTAGTAAGAGGCCTCATCAAGGGACTCAAGAGCCTGAAGTAAACCAACTTCCTCTCCTTGTTAAATAGTTACCTTCTACTCTCGAACCCTCTTTCCAGTGCAGGGTTCGAGAGTAGATGGTAACTATTTAACAAGCAGGGTTCTACTCTTTAAATAGGGTTCGAGAGTCGATGGTAACTATTTAGCAAGCAGGGTAACTATTTAACAAGCAGGGTTCTATTTAACAAGATGGTAACTATTTAAATAGTTACCATCTACTCTCGAACCCTGCTCGTTAAATAGTTACCATCTACTCTCCAACCCTGCACCGGAAAGATGGTTCTTCGAGAGTAGATGGTAACTTTTTAAATAGTTACCATCAAATAGTTACCATGTAATCTTGAACCCTCCTTCTACTAGCTTTAGTTACAACTTTCAACTTACAACTACTCCATCCGTCCGCACTCGCTATGTCGGCACTGGATGAATGGGAAAGAAGGGAAAGAAATTGCAGACCGCCTCAGGGAAATGGATCCAGGTATGGGGCACTCTCACAGCTCATGTGCAAAAAAAAGAAAAAAAACGAAGCACTAACAGACAGCTCATGTGAGGCTTTACTCTCACAGCAAACATGAAACATCGATGAATGGCATCACCATCAAGCTGCACCACCCCCCTTCTTTGAAAAAAAAAATGAAAAAAAAAAGGAATCGGCGACATGCTTGTGATGTCATCTCTGGACTGAATGGCCCCAGCTAAATAGTAAATTCAGACAACTTCAGAGTTATGTTCACTCCTCTGATCCCATTGGGATTCGAACTCAGGTATAATTGTCCCGTTTGAAAAGCAGTAAATACTAAAAACAGCAGCACCCTACGATGTTTATGACAAAGTAGAATTTGATGTACCCCTAGGTACACGAGGAGATTGTTATGATCGTTATTGAGTCCGCATTGAAGACATGTGACAAAGTCTTCAAATCATTGTCCAATGCTTGAATCAAATGCCTACCGTCTTCCCCCGAACACAACGCACCCTTATTTTGGCTGTATCTGGCTGTAAATATCGTTTGTATACATTCATTTTTAGGGTGCGTAATGTTCGGGGGAAGACGGTAGTGGCATGATCAAAGCGGATGATCATAGAC